GGGGGGGGCAGGGGAGCTGGGGTGCAGGCAGGGCAGAGTTGGGGGGTGCAGGGGAGCTGGGGGGCAGGCAGGGCAGAGGCAGGGCCGCCGGACACAGGGGTCCCCCATGGCTGTGTGTGGGGACGAGGGCTCAGGGATGGATGTCTCGCTCTTCGCAGCGGAGCCCAACGTGTCCGGTCTGTCCCGGCTCCGGCTGCCTGCAGCCCTGCCGTGCTTCGTGGCAGGAAGAGGCAGGAGGGAGGCCAGGTTGGGGTGACCTGCAGGGCTTCAGGCCACCCCGGCATCCAAAGGGGATGAAATAGGAGGGAGCAATAGGAGGGGAGGGGGGGGGTCTGTGCGGGAGGCACCCGGTTCTGCTCTGGGGCACCACAGACTCCACGTTTCCGGGTGTTTGGAGTAAATCTGGGTGCTGGGGTTGGGCTGAACCCGTGAATGCCGGGGTGCTGGGGCTCGCTCTGTGTGCTTGGGCTGGGTGGGGGAGCAGATGGGGATCCTGCAGTGGATGGGGGCTGCACTGACCCCCAAAACCTGCCCGACCCATGACTGAGGGGGTCAGCATCAGCTCGGTGCTGGCAGTGTCCCAGAGCGGGCAAGGCTGTGGGACACGGGCCGGTGCCCACCACGTGCCTGTCCTGCTGCTGCCCGACATCTCTCCCTTGCAGGCAGCCCTCTTGGCCCCGAGCCGCTGCCACGGGCACCATGAGGGGTCTCTGGGCCCTGGCGCTCGCGGGGCTCGTCAGCGCCTGCGAAGGGAAGGAGCTGACGGCGGCGGAAGGTAAGGGACACGGGGAGTGGGGGCTTGGGGTCCGCATGGGAGCGACCCCCTCCTTACCCATCCCCAGGGAAAGGAGGGGTGGGCTCGGTCAGACCCAGGGATGGTGGGGCAGAGGTGGCCGGTGACACGGTGAGCCATGCCGGGTCCCCCCATGCCAGGACCACAAGCAGGAGCGCACTGGTGGCCGCAGCGGCGGCCGCGGCCCTTGGCTCCCTGCTGAGCACCGTCTGCCCGGGCTTTGGGGCTTTGCTCAGCGTCCCGTGCGGGCAGGGGGCCAAGGGAGAGCCGAACGAGCCCTGCTGTGGGGAGCCAGCCCGGGGACACCCCGCCATCGCCCCCGCAGTGGCTGAGCACCGGGAACACCCCGTGGCCCAGACGGTGCTCACGGAGGGAGAGAGCTTGGCCACGCTCCGGCCATGGGCCGCTCGTTGCCAGCTGGCAATGGAGGCAGCGCCGGCCCGTCAGGCAGCGTGTGCGGGAGCCAGGCCCGGGTGGGAGCGAGTGGGGGCTGCTCTGTAGAGGAGCCAGGGCCGCTCCGGGCAGCAGTGAGGATGCACAGAGCCCCTGAGGGGGTTTTGGCGAGGTGGGAAGAGGTTTGGCCATGGGACATGCCAACGGTGGAGGGTGCAGGGCCGTCACCATGACAGGGTGACGATGACTGAGGCCATGGGGGTCCCAGCCAAGGTGTCCCTGGCTGTGGGGCTGCGGTGTGGGGGTCCCGGCGTGGGGCTGGCCGTGGCACAGGGTGAGCTGGAGGCGGATGGTGGGGAGGAGCCGCTGGCAGCGGAGCTGCGGTTGCATCAGTCTTTGTGGGGGTGGAGCGGTGGCTCGTCCCGGCGGGGACGGGGGGCTCCCCGGCTTTGCAAGGGACCCCGCGGCCGGCACCGACACCCACGGTCCCGTGTGGCACGGCCAGCTGGCTCCCGGCCCTTCGTTAGGCAAACGAGGGTTGGGGAGAGGAGATTTTTTCCCGGAGAGAGGAGCCGGGAGAGGCTTCAAAGCAGATGGCGGCCGGGGTGATTTATGCTTTGCTTCCCACCCCCTGCCCCGCTACGGATGATCTCACTGCCGGCGGGAGGGAATCTGCCCCCGGCCACGACACGTGCCTGTGGGGCCGGGTCCGGTGCCCCCACTGCCGGGGGTCCCGGGGGTGAGGGGGCAGCTCCCTGCGCTGCCGCTGGCCGTGTGCGAGCAAGTGGTCAGCCTGGGGGAGAACCACTGTGGTGGTGGTGCCGGGCTCTCGGGCAGAGGTGGAGGTGGGCAGTGGGGCCACGGGGGCCAGAGCTGCCCCCCAGGAATGGCCGAGGGCTGGGGAAGAGGTGGGTGAGTCTTCGAGGGCCTGTGCCAGGGCTGATGTGCATGGAAACAAAACAAATTCCTCTTTCAATACCCCCGTGTTTCCTCCTCTTATCTCACACCTCCCAACATCTGGAGCATCCCGGGGCAGTGGGTTGATGCTGCTAACGCAGTCCTGTATCAGGGGGGCTGCAAACGGCACCAGCATCCCCCTGATTGCTGCTGACATGGCGTGTCCTGCGGCTCAGCCTCTCGCTGTCCCCTTGGCCGGGCTCTCGTGCCTGTCCCCTGGGGCCACCAGGTCTGAGGATGTCACCAGGCTGGGGACAGGAAGGCGAGGGGGCAGCCCTGGGTGTCACCTCCCCGCCTTGGGTGTCCGCGGCGCCCGGCCAAGTCTCCTGATGCCGATTCCAGACACGAGGCTGTTTTTGAGGCAAAACGCGCCACAACTGGGAAAAACATTTCACCTGGTGAACTTGCTGGGGGAGGTGGCCGGGGGCCAGCTCTGAACTCCCTGTCCGTCCCTTCCATCCCTTCCAAACCTGCTGCTTGGCTCCTGGCGGGCTGTTTGCTGCCGTGGGAGCCGTGTTTGCTGGATCCATGCTGTCCCGTGGCTGCCAGCAGCCTCGGGGGCTCTGGGGGGGGGGTCAGGGGGAGCTCCTGGCAGCACCCCAAGACCTGCTTGGTCTTGGGGAGCTCTGCACGGTCCAGCCCCTGGGGACACTGGGGTGACCTGCTGATTTGCCTCGCAGGGGAGCCGTGCCCACAGCTCTGGAACGAGGACCTGGTTGGGGACAAGTATGAGAACGTAACGGGTAAGGGAAGCCCCCCCCTCCTTGTCTTGCAGCCCCACGCAGCCCCGACTCCCCAGGGATGGGCTCCCCACCCTGCCTGGAGACCGTCAGCCTGCCCAGGGCTCTCCTCCTCCGCTCTGTCCTGCAGGTTTTAACCTGATTAAGAGGTTCGACCTGCTGAAGATCTCCTCCATCAAGAAGGTCCGCAACCCGCGGGGGCCGGTGGTGCTGCGGCTGGGCGCCGTGCCGCTGGTCCAGCCCACGCAGTGAGTACGGACCGGTCACCGGGTGGCTCTCGGTGGCCAAAGCACCTCCGGGCACCGTCCCCATGTGTTTTAAGGATGGAGCCTTGGCAAAACTCGTTAGGCTTTGCCCTTAACTTATGCTGGAGAGGCCAGGCAGCTCCGCAGCACCCAGGAGGGTGGTGGTCCCACCAGAGCTGGTGGTCCCAAGCTGGGACTGCCCAAGCCACCTTCCTCCTAGAAAGTAAATCCCGGGCTGCAGTGGCTGGGCTGGGTCGTGGCCAGCCCTTACGCAAGCAGGGCTCTGTGGCTGCTCTGTGTTTGCTCTCCTCCGCTTGGCAGGCGCTCGCCGGGGTCTAGACAAGCTCCAAACATCCAGAGCAGGCTCTTCTGGGTTTGTTGGGGCCACGGGGGTCTGTTGGGGGGGAAGCACACAGAGACTAGTCCTCGGCCCCACCGTCTCCAGCGCGTCCTGCCCAGCCGTGCCCGAGGTGCTGGCAGGGATGCTGCAGCGTGGCGAGGTGGGAGCAGGTCCACGTCCTCAGGAACCGCTTCGGGAGGAAGCTGCTGTGGTTTGCGTGCCTGCCTGCCTCCAACCCGCCTCGCCCTGGGGCTGGCAAGGGGCTGCACTGGGCACGGGGCTCTGCTGAGGGCGAAGGAGACCTCCTTAGATGGCTCAGTCCTTAGATGGCTTCGAGGTGGCAGATGCTCCAGGCTGGTGTTGCTCTTGGCCGGGTGCCTGCGGCAGCCCAGAGCCAGCCCTGGGGAATGCTCAGTGCAGGGGTGGCCCTGGTAGCCTGGTTGTGAGCTCCAGGTGGGCACCCATGGGTGCCCCTCCACCCCGGCACCCTACGAGGACAGCCCCGTGCCCTGCAGAGCACAGGGGGGGACCACCGGGTCTGGCCCCTGCTCCTCGTGCCTTGGTCCAGCTCCAGAGCGGTGGCTTGGAAAATTGCTGGTGTGGTGGAGCCGAGGCTGGGAAAAGAGTGGAGCCCGGAGCAAATATTTCCAGTGGCTGGGCGGGCTGTGGGCACACTGGGCACGGTCCCACCGGGGAATGGCTACCGTGCTCCCCGCTATGGGGAGGGACCAGGCTGCTATGGGGAGTGAGCTCTGCCCCACCGCCTGCGTGGGAGCATCCGTCCTGTGGGTCAGGGATGTGTGTCCTGGCTGCCTGGGGATCAAATTCAATATTGTGGCGAGAAGTGCATGTTCTCATGCTGTAACCACCCTGGGAGCGCTGTGTTTGGGGTGCATGGTGGGGATGGTGGCTGTGCCGTGGGGCAGGGGATGGGGACGGTGCCTGGGGCAGGCTGGGGATGCTCGGTCCCCTGTGTCTGGCCGGTGCGAGGGATGTGGGGCTGAGCTCTGGGGGGACAGTTTGAGCTCCCCGTGCTGGGCCAGGGTGGGAGGAAACATCTCTGCTGTCTGTTTCGTGTTTGGCTCCCGTTGCCAAAGTGCTGACATCTCCGGCTGCCCCATCCTGTGCCCCCTTCGAGGCACAAACAGCTCCAGGTCCAGGCGCTGCCAACGAGGATCTGGGGCTCAATGTGCCCTGATGGCATCTGCGGTGCCACCAACCGGGACAGACCCCGACAGGACCCATGGGGGGCTGTTGGGGTGATGCTGCCAGTGGGTGCCGTGTGGGTGGGGGTGTCGGGGCCGGTGCAAACACCAGCATCGGAGCTCGGTGCAGGGTCCGGCCGCCCCCGACGCCTTGTCCCCACAGGCAGGTGTTTCCCCACGGGCTGCCCCCCGCCTTCACCCTCGTCCTCACCTTGCTGCTGAAGAAGAACAGCACCGGGGAGCACTGGTACCTCTTCCAGGTCACCGACCGGCAGGGCTACCCCCAGGTACGGGCCCTGGGGCGATGGGATGCTCCGGTGACAAGGGGACAGCCGGGAGCCGTCCCCGAGCGCGGTGTTGTCCCCTCTCTGCCCAGCTGTCCCTGGCCGTGCACGGCCCCGAGAAGAGCCTGGAGTTTCAGGCGAGGGCACCGGGGGCCACGTTCGTCAGCGCCGTCTTCGCGGGGAAGGCGGTGGCATCCCTCTTCGACGGGCGGTGGCACAAGGTGGTGGTGGCCGTGCAGAGCCGCGCTGTCTCCGTCCACCTCGACTGCTCCTCCATCTCCTCCAAGCCGCTGGCAGCCCGGCGGCCGCTGGCCCCGGAGGGCAATGCCTTCCTGGGGCTGGATGCTGTGCGTGGCACCCCGGTGAGGGTGAGTCCCCACGGGGGTGCAGGGACACTCTGCCAGGGGTGCGGGATCCGTCCCTGCCTGCTCTTGACCTGCCGTCCCCTTCCCGCTGCAGTTCGACATCCAGCAAGCTCAGATCTACTGCGACGCCGAGCTGGCCAGGCAGGAGGGGTGCTGTGAGATCTCGGCCAGCGGGGTGAGTCCCCCCCGAGCCCCCCACCCCAGTCCCAGCCAGGCTCTGGCATTGCTCAGCACCATCAGGGTTTTCCCAGAGGGGAAACTGAGGCACGGCGAGGGCAGGTCTCTCAGCCAGAGCTCCCCTGTGGGTCACCTCCTGCCTGCGGTGGCCGGGGACACGGGGCAGCTCTCCACCAGCCCTAGGACATCACTTGACGCCTGTCCTCGTGGCCAGCGCAGGGCACGGTGTGGGATGCACCCCTCTCCTGAGTCACCCTGGGTGCTCAGGCAGGGCTGGGGATCCTGGCTCCCCCCGTGACCCCCCTGTCTCCCAGCAGTGCCTCACGGAAGCGCCCAAGACCCGTCGGCAGGCAGAGCTGATGCAGAGCAGCAACCTCATCGAGATCTCGCCGCAGTCTGAGGGCCGGGTGTACACCCGCTGCTTCTGCCTGGAGGAGCCGCTGGGCACGGTGAGCTCCGGCAGCCCCCGGCAGCCTGGCACGGGCCCCCGTCCTGGTGTGGGTCCCCATCCCGGTGCAGGATGCTCCTGGTGTGGGTCCCCGTCCTGGTGTGGGTCCCCGTCCTGGTGCGGGATGCTCCTGGCACGAGTCCCCATCCCCATGTTGGCCCCATCCCCATGTGGGTCCCCGTCCTGGTGTGGGATGCTCCCCACACAGGTCCCCGTCCCAGCACGGGATGCTCCTGGCACGAGTCCCCATCCCGGCACGGGATGCTCCCAGCCCCGAGCTGGCAGCCACGTTGCTTCAGCCCCTGGAAAAGCCCTGCCTCACATTTTCCACCACGCCAGGCTCGGTGCGAGGGGAGGGAAGGAGCTGGCGGCGGCCAGATGCCGGGGAGGGAGGGAGGGAGGGGAGGGCTCCTCCAGCCCTGCTGACGGTCTGCACTGGCCGAGCTACTGGTTTGGGGCTCAGCCCCAGGCGGGTGGCACCCATGGGTGCCCCAGGCAGGATAACACTGGGGGGCAAGGGGAGGTAGCACCCATGGGTGCTCTTCTCTCTCCACAGGAGCCAGTGAGGACCTCGGGGAGGACCAGCCTGAAGGAAGATCGTGGGGAGAAGGTGCGGGGAGGTGGGAAAGGGTGTCCCAGCCCCTCTGCCCCCGTCCCAGCACCCTTGGTTCTGCTCCCCTTCCTCCCACTGGTGCCAGGGGCCCATCTGTGCCCCGGGATGGGTCTGTCCCCTCCGTGTTTGGGAACTTTCTGCTGCTGCCAGAGCCGTGGGGGCGCCTGCAGAGGCGGCTGCTCTGCTCCCCCAAGCAGGGATTGAGGCCCCTCTCCGTTCTCTGCCGCTGCTGGAGCGATCCCAGCCGTGGCCAAGAGCCTCTTTGTTCCCTCCGAATGTCTCCAGAGCTCTGCCGGAGCTGGGAAGCGTCTCCAGCACACCCTGTGTCCCATCCCTGCGTGTCCCCAGCCCCCCAGGGCAGCAGTGACCCCACGGTGGGGTCCTGCTGGGGTCCCCGGGGGTGCAGACCAGGTCCCACAGCACGGGGACTGTGGGGGCTGCCAGCCTGGCCAGCTTTTCTCACCCTTTGCTCCGTGTGATGGGGTGACGGGGTCCCTCCGGGGACACCCAGCAAGGGGGTGAGGTGTGGGGCTGGCCCTGGCTGGGGGACGGGAGCCCAGGGATTTGGGCAACCCCATCCTGCCTGTCCCATGGGAGCAGCTGGTTTGGCTCCGTGGAGCTGTGGTCAAGCCACAAAACCACAGGAGAGCTGGTGCCCGGCCGGCCGCTCCGCTCACCTCCCCGGGGACCCGGCGGGGGGAACACGCTCCCCTCGCTCTTCCCTTCCCTGCCCTGGGCATCCCCCTGTGCCCACGGGCACCCCGGGGCTGGCAGGGAGGGATGCTGCAGGATGAGCCCCGTGGGTTTGGGGTGCCCAGGAGAGCGGGGCAGTGGCCAGGGGGTTGTGGGTGCCGCATGGGGCTGGTGCCAAACACCATCCTCCTCTCTTCCAGTGCCCCCCCTGCTCGCCGCAGATGGCCTCGGCAAATGTGAGTGTGCCACTGGGCAGCACTGGGCTGTGCTGGTGGGGGGAAATGGGGACCCTGACCCACCGGCTGGGCTGGGAGCTGGGACTGGCAAAAAAGCCACCAAGGTGGTGGCCTGGGGGTTTCATCTGCCACTCTGCCATCGCCACCAGCCCCCTGTGATTCCTGGCTCCTCCTGGCCCAGGGCTGGGCAACATCTGGCTGTGGGGAAGGTCTCTGATCCCTTCCAGATGTGGCCCCTCTCCATGGCAACCTCTGGCTGGAGGTGGGGGGGCTGATGGCGGAGAATGATGGGTGTTTGGGACCCCACATGCCCCATGGGGCTCCCAGGGTGGCACTTGGGGACAGGGTGTTGGGATGCTGGGGACGGGGCTGTCTCCTGCTGCTGTTGGGAGACAGCCTGCCCTTGTGGGGCTCCGGGTGCTGTGGGTCACCTCTCTCCTCTCTCCCTAGGTCACCCTCGGTCCCCCGGGTCCAAAGGTAGGTTTGTCACCCCCCAGGACACACAGAGCTCAGCTCCAGCAGGGATGTGGCCACACAGACCCTCGGCTGTGCCCGGAGCATCTCTGCCTGGGAGCTATGGGCCCCACGGTGGACATGGGGACACCCATGGTCCATCTCATCACCCACACCCCCCTTCTCTTTGCAGGGTGGGAAGGGTGAGCGTGGCCTGCCTGGGACCACTGGGGCCAAGGGGGAGAAAGGCGACCGTGTGAGTGTCCCCCCGTTTCCTGGACAGGGACCCCCCTCCCCTGGGGATGCTCCCTGATTCCCGGGGCTCCCGCTGCCCCCCATGGCCCCCCACCCTTGGCCATGGCCGGTGCAGACAGAGCCCCTGAGCCACCTCCCCCCTCCCGCAGGGCGCTGACTGCGTGCGCACCCACCCCGGTGGCCCCGTGCAGGTGAGACCCCCCCCAGCCCTCAATGTACCCCATCACCTGGCTACGCTACCCCTCCTCACCCCACTCCCTCCTCCTCCTCCTCCCCAGTGCGCCGAGGGGCCGCAGGGCGAGAAGGGGCAGCGCGGAGAGACGGTAAGTGATGCTCGGCGGATGGGGTCATGACACGGGGACCTAGTGGTGACCCCCCCCACCCCACGTCTTGTGCGTGCCCCAGGCTGGGACGTGGGGGTCCAGCCCCGAGGAGACAGCTCAGGGGGTGGTGGTGGGTGAAAGGAGCAGTGGGGCGAGCAGGAGGGAAGCCCCTAACGAGCCCACCCGTGGGTGCACGCATGAGCCCACCCGTGGGCACCCACTTTGCCCCACTGTTCCCACACAGGGGGTCCCGGGGGCAGCCGGCGCTGACGGGCAGAAGGTAAGTCCAACCCACCCGGGGGTCTCCTGGCGTTGCAGTGGGGCCAACTGCCCCGTGCGTCCTGCCATGGTGGCAGAGATGCCAGGAACTGCCTAAGCCAACCCGGGCAGCAGGGGAGCTGGCATGGGTGACATCCGTCTGTCCCGCAGGGCCAGAAGGGTGAGAAGGGTGACGGGGGACTGCAGGGCAAGCCGGGACGGCCGGGACGCGATGTGAGTAGTGCCGGTCGGTACCGGGGCATCCCCTGGGCACTGGGGTCTGGGTGCTGGACCAGCCCACGCCGTGGTGTGCACGGTGCTGCACGTGTGGAGTCTTCACACCCTGCTCCCCTCCCGGCAGGGCCGGCCCGGAGAGATCTGCGTGGTGGGTCCCAAGGGCCAGAAGGTAGGTGGGGGCTTGGGGGCAAGTGGGTGGGAGCCAGGGCACTCATTCCTGGTGCTGACACCCCCTCCGTGCCTTCCAGGGTGACCCCGGCCTCGTGGGACCCGAGGGGCTGGCTGGCGAGCCGGGACCCCCGGGGAAGCCAGGATCTCCAGGGATCGGTTTTCCAGGGAAGCCGGTAAGGACCCCCGTGCCATGGGGCTGTGCCAGGGTGGTGTCCCCAGCTTGGCACGCAATGGCTGTGGCTGGGCATCACCACAGGAGGGGGCGAGGTGCCCTCACGGAGCTCTGTGATGGGGCTGGCTGGTGGGCTAACGCCATTCTCTTTGCCTCTCAGGGTGACCCTGGTGGCCCCCCAGGTCCAAAGGGAGAAAAGGTGAGTGGGGGGTGGGAAAAGGGGTCCTGGATACCCCCCACCCTGCCCGAGGGCAGCTTGGCATGGCAGGCACTGCGTTGTTCCGGGGGTCCCTGGCTGGAGCCGGATCCAGCACGGCTGAGTCAGCGCTGGCTCGGGGTGCTGGGCAAGGGCTCGGCTTGAGGGGGGCGGGAACCCCTGCCTGGGGGGAGAAGGGTGCTGGGGGTGCCGAGGGATGTGGTTTTCTCCTTTGCCGAGCTCAGGCTGTCCTGTTTCTGGCTCCAGGGCAGCTCGGGAGCTCCTGGACCCGGAGGATCGCCTGGGATGCCCGTGAGTACCGGGAGCCGGGAGCCAAAGCCCGGGGTCAGGGACGGGTTTCTTGGCTCGGGGTCGGGGCTCTTGGCCGGAGCCGGGGGTGGGATCCCAGCCCAGGCGCCGAGAGGGGGTTTGGGAGAGCCGGCGGCCTCGTCTGAGGCTGGGACCATCCCGTGTCACGTCTGGGGGCAGGGATTGCGGGGTGCTGGGTGGCATTTCTGGGGCAAACCTCGGTCTCAGGGGCTCCCTGAAGCACCCCATCCCCTGTCTTCCTCCCGCAGGGACCCCCCGGTGTCCTGGGGCCGAAAGGAGATAAGGTGGGTGCAGCAGCAGGGTGGCCCGGTGGGGGCTGTGCTGTGGCCATGGGCACGGCAGCCCCTGCCAGCACCGCGGTGCCCATCCCCTGGGCTCAGGGCTGCTTGGGGTATCTCGGGGACCACCCTGAGGACTTCCCCCCCCCGAGCCCGGGGCTACATCTCCCTGTTCCCATGGGCAGGGTGAGCCGTGCGAGGTGTGTCCCACCATCTCCGAGGGGATGCTGGGTGCCACCGGGCTGCCTGGCAAGCCGGGACCCAGGGGAGCCCCCGGAGCGCCCGGCAAGGATGGGGTCTCGGTGAGTCTGAACATGGGGGGCTTGCGGGGGGGTTGGAGGGCAGAGCAGGGTCTCGTCTCAGCATCCCTAACGCCCCCTCTTTATTTCCCCCTCCCCAGGACAGACCCGGCCCTGCGGGACCCAAAGGGGACAGGGTAGGTGACGTGGGGGTGAGGGCTGGGCTGGCTCATCCCCAGCCGGAGTTGGGGGACACTGAGCCCCCTCCATCCCGTGCTGGCAGCCCCCTGCCCAGCTCCTCTCCTTCCTCCCCAGGGAGACCCTGGCATCCACGGGATGAAAGGGGAGAAGGTGAGTGTCTGTCCCTGCATCCCACCCCACGGGCAGCCCCCCCGGCCCCCCACCCTGAGCCCTGCCCTCTTGCTGCCCAGGGGGACTCCTGCCTGTCCTGTGATGCCCGTGTCCTTGCTGCGCTGCTGCGGGGTCCCCCCGAGGGGCTCGAGGGTGAACCGGCACCGGCGCCGCTGCAGCCCGGGCTACCCGTGAGTACGTGGGGCTGAGTCCCCCATCTGGCATGCCGGGGTGGGGGGGACACCCCATCCCCCCCGGGTGGGTGTGTGACCCTGTGGGGTGTTTGCAGGGTGAAATGGGGCTCCCCAGGCTGGCTGGCATCAAGGGCCAGAAGGTGAGTGACCCCCAACGCCCACCCCACTTTCTGCACCCCCCGAGGGAGCAGGAATGGCCCCAACCACGGGGTGGGGGCAACCTCAGCTTCCTACAGGGACTGACCCTGGTGTCTTGCAGGGGGACGGTGGCCAGGAGGGACCCATGGGCAGACCGGTGAGTGGGGGTGTGGGGGCTCAGGGGGGGGTGCTGGGAGCCCAGGGGGGCCGGAGCCGGGTGCTGGGGGCCGTGCTCTCATCTCCGCTGTGGCTTCTCGGTGCAGGGGCTCCCGGGAGACAAGGGGGATCCAGGCGTGCGGGGGCTCAAAGGAGAGAAGGTGAGCCCTGTGCTGGGGATGCCCTGGGACCCCCTGTCCCTTAAACCACCCCTGCTGAGACCTGTGCAGCTCAGTGCATGGGACAGCCTGAGATGGGGAGAGCGGTGGGGGCTGCAGTGCCCCGGTCCCTGAGGCCACGCTCCGACCGGGATGTCCCCTCCACAGGGCGACTCGTGTGGGCAATGCCCTCCCGTGCCACAGGCCCTCGAAGGAGCAGCGACGGTGCTGGCCGTGCCCGGGCCACCGGGGGAGAGGGGCCAGGATGGCCCCCCGGGCAGAGCGGTGAGCCCCCCCCTGCGCTCTCGGGTACCGTTTTTAGGGGATGCTGTGCCCTGACCCGTTCCTTCCTTCCCCCAGGGCAGACCCGGTGACAATGGCCAGAAGGGACAGAAGGTGAGAGGGGCTGGGGAAGGGGCTCTGGCGGGGCTGGGGGTGGGGAGTGCTGTGTGCCCCCCTGCCCTGTGCCAGCCTTGATCCCTCTCTTTGCCAGGGGGATGCAGGTAGCCCTGGGGACCCGGGCACCCCGGGCATGGCTGGTGTCCCAGGGCTGTCGGGTGAGCCTGGCATCAGGGGTCCGGCTGGCCCCAAAGGGGAGAAGGTGAGATTATTTGGGGACCCACATCCCGTCACTGGGGGGTCACCCACCCCCTCTATCCCTCTCCCATCCCAACCTCTCCTCCCATGCTCCCTCCTCTGCAGGGAGACGCCTGCGAGCCCGGTCCCGCTCCCCATGGGGACTTCTCCGACACGGTTGGCATCCCGGGAAAACCTGGGGCCAAGGGAGACCAAGGCCCCCCAGGCATCGGCCAGCCGGGCAGACCCGTGAGTGTCCCCCCCCCGCCGTGCCACGGGTGCCCCGTGCCATCGTGCCCTCCTGACCCTGCTGTGTTTTAGGGGAAGCCGGGGCTGCCCGGGGTTCAGGGTCCCGCCGGACCGAAGGGGCTGCAGGTGAGTGGGGCTATGGGGAGGGGGGCTGGATGCTGGGTGGGGGGACTGGGGGGTGCCCACTGTCCCTCCGTCTCCCTAGGGTGAGCCAGGACCGCGGGGGATCGGCCAGCCGGGACCGCAGGTGGGTGCCGTGGGGTGCCGTGCCGTGCCATGCCATGCCGTCCTGTGCCATGCCATGCCATGCCATGCCATGCTGTGCCATCCTGTCCCATGTCGTGCCAGGTGGCTCTGCCAGCTCTGACACACTCTGTTTTTCCCAGGGAGAGCCCGGGAGCTCCGGCCCACCCGGGACACCTGTAAGTAGCTTTTCTCCAGCCCTGGGAGATGGGGCAACCACCAGCCCCCCCAATTCCTGCAAGCTGTGGGGGGGGATCGCATCCCTACATCATCAGCCCCCCCTGGTGCGGGCAGTGGCAGCAGGGTTCTGGCCAGACCCCCCTGGGGACAGTGCTGTCACCACGGGACGGGGGGTGTCTGGAGGTGCTGGGAGGGAGCTAATGCCTTCTCCTGCCCCCAGGGCCCCCCCGGACCCCAGGGACCCCCAGGGATGGCAGCAGAGCAAGG